ACTTGCAAGGCCAAGGCCAACACTGCAGGTGTTATTTCTATCTAGGTCCTCAGTGAGATGGAGGAGACAATTGTATGTATATTCCCCTTGACCTTAAAATCCAAACAGCTAGGCTGCCCAGAGAAAGTTACCTGAAACTAGGAGAATAATATGCTTCTTCTACCATGTAATTGTTTTTCTAGAATATAGAACATTATTTTTAAAACAATGCTTTGAAAAGAATAAAATAAAATGAAAGTAAAACCGTGCTTTGATCAGTAGTGTCATAACTGTTGCCTGTAGATAAGGCGCAAGTTAGAGTAAGAATAAACAAACGCAAAACTTTAAATGCTATACGACCTCTCTCATTAACCAACAACTTATTCATTGTTGCTTAAGTGACCCTAATTTAGTCCTTGAGGTGAGTTGAATTAACTTGCCCAGTCTGACTCCCGAGGGCTCTGTCTGATTCACATGAATTGTGCATAGTTGTTTCAGACCAGATCTTGTCTTTGATCTTTATCAGCTTGAGTCTCTTGACCTGTTTACCCCTTACCAGCTGAAAAAACTCGTTTATCCTTCTAAAATTCCTACTACTCGTCTTTGGGCCCATATCTGGAGGCATGAACAGAAAGAAAATAAAAGTATATGCTAATCGCCTTGGGCCATGAAGACAATTGTTTCTGTTTCAGAAAAAGTTCTCCAACCCCCATCCCGGCCTCTTGCCATATTTGAGTGTTTAGGGTGTTCAACCTATCCTTTTCCCAACTCAAACTCAAAATAATTAGAAATGAGAATTTCCAAGCTCAGTTTACTAGAGAACAGTTTTTAATGAGGAATATAGTTTTAAAACCAAGAAATAATGTCCTTTGTATCCCTTAAGTCTTTTTGTAGACAATTTACTCTGTCTACCTTAAAATGGGGTTTGTAATTATAACTGAAGTATTGTTTGGATGATTACAGGGACATGTCAACGTGTGAATTCCTTACAGAAACATGAACCTGAAATGATGTATTGAAAGAAAGAAATATGGCATAATTCAACAGAGGGAGGCATGAACTTTGAAGTGTGGGAAATCATATGTGTAAATACCTAAAGGTGAGAATTAATTAATCATGTACTGAGAATAGAAAACTGGTTTCCTGACTTTATCTGGGAACATGGTAGAAGATGAAAACTTTTGGAGAAAAGAGAACAAAATAAGCAAAAGGTCTTGAAGTTATGGTTGCAAGGTAAAGTTTGCGGAAGTGATTGAGACATAGAAATTCTTTTCACCCCGTCAGTTAAGTCTACATTTCTGAGACTTCCTAGCCATTTCTCCCTATGAATATTGGAAATTTTTCCTGATTTAAATCCTGAAAAAATGATCTGTTAATACTGCTAACTTCCTGATACAATATTAGGCATCCCACAACATTATTTATGAGAAATCGATACTATGCAGTCAATTCTGCAAACCAATTTCCATCCTAAGGAGCCTCTTATGTAAAAGTGTTGGGCATTTGCACATTGTTGAAAATAAATCATTGTAGCTTCTGGGAATATGGTAGACTAGGTACGTTGACTGACCTTCTTGATAAGAATAATTAAAAATGTAGGATTAAAAAAAATTTTTTTAATTGTTTGAATATATTGGTGAACTGGAAAGCTAGCAAGAAATAGTCATGGATCAAAAACTAATTGAAGGCAGGAGCCCTGAGGGGTAAGCAGAAGGCTGAAGTCAGTGTTCACCTTGAGGGCGTTTTTTGGGTTTTTTTTGTTTTGTTTTTTTGGGGTTTTTTTGCCTTGGAGCATCGAAGGGACAGATGGGAGAGCCTGAGCTTGCCCAAGTTGGGAAACATAATAGCAAACAAAATTCAGGTACAGCCCTGTTTACAAAAGACTCATCTGAAGCTAAATACAGACAAATTCAAAGTAAAAGGATACAGAAAAATACATCAAGCAAATATCAATCAGAAGAAACCAGTGGTACATCTATGTAAATATCTGGGGAAGCTGTACTTTACCAGGGAAAGTGTTACTGGATATAAAAGATTAACCTTTGGTACTGATAAGCACAGGATACAGGTGTAAAGAGAAAGTGAATTAGTGGAGCCTAGGCAGCTCAGTAGGTTAGGAATTGAACTCTTGGTTTCAGTTCAGTTCATGATCTCAGAGTCATGGGATCAAGCCCCAGCCTGGGCCCTGTGCTCAGGGAGGAGTCTACTTGAGATTCTTTCTCCCTCTCCCTCTGCCCCTCCCCCTGCTTGCTCTTGTGTGCGCACCCATGCTCACTCGCTCTCGCTCTCTCACTCTCAAATAAATAAATAAATCTTTAAAAAATAAATTAATTAATTAATTAATTAATCTTAAAAAAAAGAAAATAATTTAACACCCCCTTTCAAGAAGATAATTAGCACTATCTATTAAAATATTAGATTCCATAAAACACACATGTGTTTCAACCCAGCTAATCCACTTTTCATAATATTTTTCACCCTTTCTTCCTTAGGATTTGGAGACATGACTTTGATGAATCAGATTAAGTTTTCAGGGAGCAGACACTATAACAGATAAATGATGTAAAGCCTGTAAACGTAAAGGTTGTAAACCCTTACATGCTGAAATGAAAAATAGTGACCCATGGTTAAATGGAAGAAAGGAGATCAATAACGAATATAAGTAAAGCGATGTTGCAGAGTAAAAATGTGGCCATTTTAAACAACCTTGTGTTTGGTAGATATCAATGTTCAATTGGAAAACTAACCTGCAGGATTATTTGGAGGTCCCCCTTACAGTTAGGATGGAATAAGCCCCCCAAAACAAAACAAAACAAAAAACCCCCAGGAACATCCCTCTGAAAATCAGGATCTCTGATTATTTGATTCTGTGGAACTTCAAATAGACCTCATGACACAGCAAGGAATGAAATGCACAAGGATATACATGAAGTAGGACAAGAAATTCCTATCATGGTGATAAAGTTGGACTCTTGAGGGCTGAAATCCCCAATCTCCCCGACACAAAGCCTAAAAGGGAGCAAGACATTGGTTTTAGGCTCCTTTGATCTGGAAGATTTCTCATTTTGAGTGGGCTTCGGAGACCACAAAATTCGCCCAAGGCTCTGTGGGAATTCAGCAGGCACGGAGCCGTGTCTGCTCCCTCCATCATCCGTTCATGATCTTGTATATAAGTATTTCACAACTTGTTTGTTCATTTGGGGAAAAGGAAGTAAAACTAACTTTTGCAGAGTCTTTAGTTGGTACTGGGGGTTTGGCATCTACCATAAAGGTTTTGAAATACCACACTAAGTACAATAGATTTCTTTATAAAAAGAAAAAAACTCCTTATTAAACCATTATTGGCACAGTAATTATCGTGTTCATTTTCAACAAATGATAAAACTGCTACTTCCACTACTGCTACTTCTGTACTCAATTCTTAAGAATCTGAGAAGTTACAAATGTATATTCATAAACAACTAAAAGGAAGAGAATCAAAAACTTGGAAATTTATGATAGATAACTTATTATACAAAAGAAAGAACTTTACTTATTTATGGAAATAAATATGACAGCACAGATCTTCCAAAACTCACACACATTCTTCTGCTTAAATTACACATTATCTTGGTGGAAAAAATAACATTCTTTACTCTTTCAGTTTCTTTATTTGAAAGTACATATAATTCCAGAGGGATATCACGTGTTACACAGACCTTGGTAGGACCACAACCAAGTCAAATCTAGAGTCAAAGATGCTTCAAAGATTCCAAGAAATGATTTGAAAACAAACTTAACAAAACGTGTATTAGGTCAGGTCCATGGTCCATCCAAACTGTACCCTGTCTCTGACTGTGTCACCAGAGAAAGATCTGTAAACCTTCAACATATCACTCCAAAATGGATTGGTTAGCACCCTGCCCACTTTGCCCCTGCCCCAATATCCCAGCTTCCCTTAATAGCCCAGATAAGTTAATCAGCTGTGTACTGATTCAAATTTTTCTAGAACATGTTCATATCTTCATACTGATTCATATGTGAGCACATGAATTTATTAAATTTACAGCCTGATATTTAAGAGTGGTGGTTTCTTTATTCATTCCAAATACCTTATTAAGAAAACAAGTAAGAGAAGCATCTAGAAAAATGTTTCAGAGATCAGGAAGTTCCCTAAAAAATATGAAGAAATGCTAAAACTGGGTTATAAAATATGATGATTCATTTAAAGATTTACATTAGCCATGAGTTAACCAGAAATATACACAATATAATCTGATTTTGCAATTTTCAAAAGATGTATTAAAAATGCGATAGTGTACAGTTTAAAGTAGTGAGGTATCATCATTCTCTCCTCTACCTCTGTGCCTGCAGATTTTACTGCCTGTGGAGATGACCTCAGAAGACTATCCTTGAGGCTCTTAATGAATGTGAGGCTCAAGCGAAGCAGCCCTCCTGGCTTTGTGGGTAAACCCTGACACCGAGTTTATAATAATCTGAGATTTGGTGAAAAATTCTGTTTTCCTGAACCTTATACTTCATAATTTGATTCCGATTTTCCATGAATGGTAAAAATTAAATGAACTATTTAGGCTGAGATGAAGGAAGAAGAAAGGGAGGAGATGAAAGGATGCAAATGAAAGATTTTTTTAAAAGAATTGGCTATGTTTCCTTGAAGGTAAAACTGGCTGGGCAAACTCCAGGATACTAAGCAAGGTTAGAAAAAAGCATCAAAAAAAGCAAAAAAGTAGCATGCTGTAAGGCCATGTAGAGAGTGTACGATGTGGCTAATCTATTACAGCTCTGTCTATATACCTACATTCACATCTCCACATATCACCATTATTCAGGAAGTTTACATTTAGATAGGCTACTGAACTGGACTTCCCCCACCTCAACATCATACATCTGTCAGCTAGAGACAACAGCTGAGAGCAGGCAGCTGCGGTGGCTGGTTTCTTGAGGCTTCTTAGTGGTTTGGCCAAAATATCCAGGACTTTGACTTGAGCTTTATTGACTTCATGCTCACATGGGATGTGCTCTTTCTACTGACCATTTAAGAATTAACCAGTAGCCAAGTCCTCAGAGTGGGAAGATTCTTCTCCAGCCACTTAATATTTTTGGATATAGTTTCCAAAATAATTTGAAAAATATCCAGATGTAATCCTTGGGCCTTAAGGGATTCAAAGAACAGTTTCACCTGAAAAATAAGCAAGAAAAATATTACTGACATGGTTCATAAAATACTTGCTCTTGCAAAGGGTTTCAAAACAGCTTGCAAATTATACAAACACCAGAGTAATATTTTCTCTGCCAACCTTTAAATGGTTATTTTCTTCTCTTTTTTTAATAATTATTATTTCACTTTATCTTCAAACAATGTAAGACAGGAATGATAAATCCTCATCTTATAAGTGAGCCCACTGTGGGTAAAAATGTTAAACGATCAAGCCAAACCATACAGGAAGTAGTGAGCCAGGATTTAAGTTCTAGAATTCTGAGTTTCCTTAAAGGGTAAGTAATTCAAGATTTATTTTGGAAAGAAGATGTAAAACATTAGAATGCTTTTTAAAAAACAGTAGAATTACCAACAATAGTAGTTTTGTTTAAAAAGACCTTTAAATACTCTTCCAACCTTCAATATAGTCAGTTCTGTGATGATACACTATGAAGGAAATAATAAGCAAAGACTCATCTCTCAAGGGTAATTTTCATTTTGAATGCTATGAACACCTGTATTTTAAGAGGTTCTGGTCCTGTCCCTTCCATTTACTTGCTATGTAACATTGGACAAACTACCTATTTTCTCTTAATCAATGAGAACTTTAAACCAGATTACATCTAAGTTCACTTTCAGTTTTATGACTTGAACATTTATTTTTCAGTTGTTAGCAGTAGAGAGTCACAGACCTCTTGCAACTCATCCTTGGAAGAGAAGTGAGATGTTGTGCCAGAGATGATCATTCTCATGGCATATGAGCCCAAGTCAAACCTGAAAATGAAAAGGAAACCCACAGATTTAAGTAATAGGAATACCGGCCTTATCTTTATGATACCATATGTTTTTAAAATATATGACATTAATAACTATATGATAAGCTTGTGCATTAAAATATATTCTACTAATTACCCTAAGAATAACTTATTCATCCAGTAAAACCCCAAAGCTATAAAATGTATCATGTTTGACCACAAGATAAAAATGTAGACAAAGCCTTTTTAGGAACTGTGACTAGCTTATTCGGCAGTGTTTATGTTTAAATTTATGTTTACGCTCAAAGCAGCATTCTCTATGTTTTTTTTTTATTATGCACTCCATTGGTAAAGATTTTTTGCCCAAGAACTTCCCAAATATACATATTTCTGTTTATGTATTATATGGATGTAGTATGTTATAGGTTCAACAGAAAATGTAATAGCATAAAAACTAATATATGTAGTAATATGTTCTCCTTGCACTCTCATGTACTGTCTTGCACACTTCCCCATCCCATTTCGGAGATCCACTGCATTTATACCCTGAATTTTGTGGGGGGCAATGTTATTTAGTTGAACTCTTCATTTGCAGCCACAGAGCACATCCTTCACCCCAGTGTCTTATATAGAGAATTTATACCATAAGTCAAAGGGATTCGTGCTGAAAAGCAGAGCACAGATAAATCCCAGAAATGATTCCAAGTCCAGGCTGTACACATGGTCAGTAAGGAGGATCATTTCCAGTGACAAAGGAAATCTATGACATTGAAGAAAAAGTCTGATCATTTCAGGGGAGGGAACTGATAGTCATGCAAATGACCCAACCAATGATTCCAGTGATCTTTAAGGAAACACACACACACATATGCAACATATGCACACACGCACACACATTATATATATATATATATACATATACACACACACACACATATATATACATATGTATATATATACATATATACATATACATATACATATATTTTTAAGCAGTTTCTAACTGGTCCCATGTGAATGTCAAACCCCTTAAAAGCCTGAGAGAGAGGTGAGAATGCTCTTTTTGCTTACACAAAGCTGTGGGGACTCTGAGTCCTTCATGGCTAACAAATGAGAGGGAAGAGAAACAGGGGATGACTGAAATCAAAGATACTAACTGACACTAAGTTAAACAGAGCAGACTGCACAGCTTTCAGATTCAGGATATTTTCCAGAGAGTTCGTAAGTGACATTTTGGTTTTGGATAAGGAATAGCTGAGCACCTTAGCAGGGGGTTGTTGTGAGACAAAGCAATGCCATCCTGTACCTTCCAATGAAGTCTAATCATTATTGGTCCTTTATGGGGGATATTTTAGGCCCAGGAGCATGCTGGGGTGAGCTCTGGTTCTCACAAGAGTTGAAACCCCAGAAAAGACTCAGAACTGATCACAGTTTGAAGGGGCAGGGAGTGGGATTCCCAAAACACTTCTGATCAGATTTCTTTCATCTTCTCTGAGCTCTCCACTGGGCCACTTCCACAGGGGAACTGAGGGTGGGGGATTAGCTCTCATCAAAATTTCTGAAGCTGTCCATTAACAAAGCAAGCCAAATGTCTTTCATGCACTATATATGGCTTCCCTGGATTCTTCTGGGCTGGTGGATGGGGCTGATGACTGGATTTAACTCATCTCACACTTACTCCCAGCAGTTCTTCTTTGCCTGGACTGAGTGAGAGAAATCTCTTTCCCACTCACTTCTCACTCCTCTCCTCACACCTGAACAGAGTAATTCAGGCTCTTAAGTTTTCAAACAAATAGAGTTCATCAAACTATTTGGGTAGAAATAGGATCATTTATATGCTTTGGGGGACACATCATTGTACTTGGTTTCAGGCAACTGAGCCATCTAGGTAGAAGAACATACACTGGATGTAAATGAATACCAACTTTTTTAGGAGATGGGTCCAATTTTCTCTTAAAAAATTCCAGGATAATCGCTGCCCCTTTGGGTTTCTGGCGATCACATAAAGAAGAGGGGACAACTCCTGTGTCTTGATGACTTCTCCTTCCATTCCTAGTTCAATTAATCTGAAGAAATAAAGACCATTTGACTTCTCATGGTATGTGTCATGTAATGGAAATTAACTCAGGCTACTGATATATGAAGAGAATAGAAGAGAAAGAGGCATGATAAAATTATAATTTACTAAAAACAGTAATAAATTCCTTATTGGCTAACATTTTTAATGTTCCAGTTGAACTTTTAATTTTTTCTGGCAGTAATTTTATTCACTTATTATTTCAAAGAACTCTAATTTTGCATTTTGTACAACATCTTATTATACACAAGAATGCATTCTTGTGATCATTTTTCTCCAAGGTTTTGAAAGTAAAATGTAACCATTTGTCCAATATTGGTCACCTGATTAATAACTAGGAATATCTGTTTTTACCATTTGCATTATGTATTTTTTGGAAGTAAAGTCAAAGCAAACCAAATCTTGATTCAATTCTTTTATGCCTTTGAAGTTGGTGGCCAATATTTTAGTGACTTCATTGAATTTGTATCAGTTTACTTGTAACAAGTTAGTTAAATTAATGCACTTACTTCATTAACTTTTCCTGATGTTTGCTGGTTGACAATGCATACAGAATTTTCTTTTTTTCAGCATCTGACATGGACAGTCCGTATTGCTCTAAAAGGTAATTCCATCCTACTGTTGTCTGAGCACCCACAGAATATACAATATTTAAAACATCTGATGGAATGCTGTAGTATGAAGAACAAAATGAAGAAAAAAGTCCTATGAAACAAAAAACCTTTTTTTCTTATTACAATTTTAAATTGCTATAACAGAATCACCCCTGAGTTATTTTCAGTAGTGTGTTAAACCCTTTCTCTGTCAAACTTTTATAAAAATATTTTATGTAATTCTACTTTGCAAATTATTTGTGGTTTTTTTTCCTTAAGATTTATTTATTTTAGAAAGAAGCGGGGGTGGCAGGCAGAGGGAAATGAAGACAAGCAGACTCCCCACCAAGCAGGGAGCCCTACACAGGTCTTGATCCCAGGACCCTGAGATTATGACCTGAGCGAAAATCAAAAGTCAGATGCTTAACTTGAGCCACCCAGGTGCCCTGTGGGGTTTTTTCCCCCCCTATTGATGATAAAATGTTAGCAAGGAGACTAATCATAAAATTTTAACTTACCCAGAGATGAAAATAGAAACTTTATAGAATCAATAAAAGAGATGATTTCTGACATATAAAAGTGTTGGTTTATATAGAATTCTAGAATTGAATGATCTATTGGTGCTATGTGATTTTTTTTATAAAACATGATTACTTGCTGCTTTAATATCACATTAAGAGTATTTTCTAACAGGACTGTCTGAGAGTCATCTGATTCTCTGGGTCTAGAAAATTGTTATTTAGCACAATTGATTAGGTCCGGTCATTTTATAATTTGTAAAACTGGCAAGATGTAATAATAAAATTATTGTCTGCCCACATAAAGAAGATACCACAATTTTGGGGGTTTTTTCCCTGTAGAATATTAACTAGTTTTGATTCCAATTTGGTCTGTGGTTTTTAATTCCAATATTGTTAGATCAATAATAACTGATACTCATTTTGATGGCTCAGGAAAACCGCAACAGAGGCATAGGGATGGGTCAAGAAATTTGCATTTATCATGCAGTGACCATATGGTAGGGACTGTGCTGGTCTCTATACATTGTATTTAACTGTCAGAGCTACCTAGTGAGATAGTTATTATCCTGATTTTTAAAAAGGGGAAATAAAGCTTGGAAGGTTAAGTAACTTGCTCAAGGTGATATAATCAGCCATTCTGAAGATGGGATTTAAACCTATGATTCTAACGCTTGTGTTATTTCCACTATATGTGCTTAAATATCCCAAGTGCCAGTTGAATCACAAAACAAAGATTAAGCAATTAAATTATAATCTACATTGTTTTGATTTTAGTATATGTCCTGTAAAAATTTATGAAAATTGAGAACAAATCTCACTGTAAGTGCCTTGAAGTTAGGACACATAGTTGTTTTGTTGACTATTTTATTCTTAGTACCTACAAGCAGTGCCTGGTTCACAGGAAACATGCAAAGAATTATATTTTGAGTACACAAATGAATGAAGTTATTAATCTATGTAAGAAAATTCTCCATTAGGATTACTACTAGTGGTCTTGAAGTTTAGGGGAAAAAACCTCTAATATTTCATTAGTATTATTGATTATAAGCATAAATGAGCTTTATATTTTCATAAGTATAGCATCCAGTTAAACTTGTCGCACTCTCATATCTAACCCAGAGGGGGGTTGCTGCAGGTAAGATCATCCCTCTTGTAACAAGTATAAAGATGGAATAATATCTCATTATGTTATAGGGCACCAGGATGTTTACATTTTAGCCCCACTCCTACCACCCAGTCAAACATGAGCAAAAAGAAGAGAAAAACAGAGCTAAAATATCCTTTTCCTAAAACTGATTTTTGGCTCAAATTACAACGACCAGAAAAGTACAAAGAAGATGCTAGAATTAATGTCTCTACAAAGAAGAATTCAAGAAAGGATTTCAATAAGCTCACTGAGATTCATTTAAATGGAGAGAAATTATGATAGCTTATCAGCAATCTGGCACAGGAAAAATGGACACCATTACATTACACAGTACCAAAATTGTGAATTTTTTTCTTCAGTTTTAAGGAATGAATTTTCCTTGATTCACATACAAGTTTGATTTCTCAAAACATCCAACTCTAGAGTGAGAGTTTTAATGACAACGATATAAAATCATGTGTTGGACAGAAATCAAGGCTTAAGTTGAAAAGATTGTGGCATCTGTTAGTATTTCTGGGTTGTAACTGCTAAACAGAACTGCAACATAATCCATGTGATCACTGGGCATCTTCCTGATTGTAATAACCACCAGAATCCATTTTGCCACCATATACACACTTTTGATGGCCCAACTCATCGGTTTCCCATCAAATATGAAATTTGGGGTCAAAATTCGGTTCTGTGGTATTGGGTAATGAAGTAGTAAATAGACTTTTTAAAAAGTTATCCTCTCCTTTTTAAAAAAAAAACAAGTTTTAACAAATGATCACTGTTGTTTTGTCTGCATGTACATTTCACATTGCTTTTTATCTTTAAAAGACATCACTTTTGGAGCTTGGACACCCCCCACACACACACACTTCTACCCTCTCGCTTTCTGTTACCATGCCAATGGTTATTAGCTCTCCCACTAAAGGGACCTAAACCTCACTTCCCACAAAATCTATTGAGCACTTACTATATGGGAGCATGAAACAATGGTTTGTATTTCCCAGCATGGCTTTCCCCTACCCAGCCCCCCACCATCCTCACTGAAAGGTTTTAGATCTAATGTCTTGCTCGATCAAAGACTTTTGCATCAAAGTGAAAGGAACAAAGAACAGGACAGATGTCTAGATTTACTTTAATTTTCCACTGGATTCCATCCACTGAGAGAAGAGTTCAGTTGCCTTCTGGATGCAAGGAGCATGGTTCAGGTAACAGGCCAGTTTTAAGATGGTTGATCGAAGCATCCTGTCCCAGACAGAGCCCTTGTTACTCCAGCTTTGCGTGTCAATCACTGGCTTAAAATACCGGAGAATGTAATGCTGCAGAAAGCACAGGATGATTTACAGAGAGGCTAAATTTAGTACTTACCACAGCTCTTACCCATTGAAAGGGGTCAACTTTAAACTGTCTGCATGAATCTTCCCCAAACACAGAATTATTTGTATTTTTCTCCTCCTTTTCTGGGCCCCACCTACCATACTTAAATAGAGTTTTTACATTAAAAATAGGATTTAATTTCCTACCTGAGGGGGGAATATCAATTGACAAAAGATAAAATCACATTTAAGAGGAATATTTTGCTCATGATCCTGATAGGATCTTCTTAGGTTGGCGATGACAAGGAGCAAGGGATTTCCAACCATTCAGGGCAGTGGTGTTGAATGTGCCATCAGCCAGTTCCCTCGGCTTCTTAAAGATTTATCCCCAAGAGGTCACACAAACAGACCAAGACTCACCCATCCTCCAGACACTCTCTGTTAACTTAGTGAATTTTCTGGAAGTGATACAAACCTTGAGGTTTTCCGTAACATCTGAAACATTCTTTCTGTCCATCATGTGGTAAAACAATTCTAAGTATTCCAGACCTTTGAGAAGTGCGGGGATGCTTGCTTCATGTTGGAGATAGCGAGTCAGGTCAAGGGCTTTGTCTAGGGTCAACCTTCCTGCACTGAGGGATGAAACAAGTTGTTGTTGGTTTGTACGTATCTTATAGTTCTTAATATTCTTAATATTAACACAAATATGATCTAGAGAGCAATAACAGGAGCAGTTCATTATAGCTAGACCATTGGGTTTAAGTCCTAGTTCTGCCACTGACTAGCTGTATGATCTTGGGCAAATTAACTGAACTTCTCCGGGCCTCAGTTTCATCCCCTGTACATGAAGATAATATTAGTATCTTCTACTGTTGTAAGTATCAAATGACTTCATACGTGTAGAGTGCTTAGAGTCATTCCTAGCACACAGTAAGAGCTTTATAAGTGAAATATTAGCTAATATTAATATTTAGTACCAAATAATATCAAGGTTTTCATATGTTACGTCATTCTCTAATTGTTTCATTTGTGGATTTGAATTGTTCCTCCAAGTGAATTTGGAACTTTGAGGACAGGGGCTGTGTCTTTTCTTTTTTTAATGTCCCTCCTAGAGCCTAAGAGAGAAGTAGTGATTATTCTGAGTGGGACAAAAAAAGTACTTTCATCTTTTTTTAGAATCTATTTAGATTCCAAAGTTATATGCCTTCTCTGTATTTTCTTTTAATGAGAAGAACAAACAACAAAACTATTATTCTGAATACCAAAACATTAGGGCCTCTTCTGCAGAGGAAATAAACCATTATATTGTCATTTTTGCAAAGTGGTTCTCACATGTGTTTCTGACAGGACTTGTGTCTGCACATGGTCTGTAAGCTATTATTGCCAGCATCCAACTCCCAGATTAAGCATAATAGTTTGATATGGAAACAGATTCCAGAACAAAGGATGTCTCTGTTGAATTTTTCATTAACATAATGCACTACCTCCTTGGGGTTTTTAAAATGTTCAATTCTTATCTAAAAAGAGGGAACTGAAACTAGAAAGAAGTGAAATTAAAAAGAACCAACTTTTGTTTGTGACTTCACTCTTCTTAAACACAATGATACACTGCTTTAAAACAGACTTATGGAAAATTTTCCACAATTTTTTTCTGAAGATGGAGTGCTAAACCATATGCACTATGATTCTATGGTTTCCTGTATTTTTAATGTATTAATCTACCAAATGTCCCGATTCCTTCCCATATGTGTGTCATGATGTGCAGTGCTGCTGATACCCTAGAGGATCAGCAACAGGAAAAACTAGGTAAAATATCCTCTTCAAAACACAATGTCTTAAACAATTTATATTAGATAATACTAATAATACTAAGAGTTAACATTTATTGAACAGGTACTGTGCTTAGTGCTTTATCAGCATTATGTTATACAATCCTTGAAACAAGCCTTTATATTAGATATTATTATTTAAAGCTGGAATTTTAAAGACTAGAGAAGTTTTAAAGACTAGACAATTTAGGCTTAAAATGTTTAGATAATTTGCCCAAGTCAAACAAGAATTGAAGAGGTAATACTTGAAGTCATCTATTTTAAACCAAAATTTGTACTCTTAATTAACTTCATTAACCTGTCTACCTAGTGAAGAAATATTATTGTTTTTCCACTGATTCATTAATAACTGTAGGGTTCCTTCTGCTAAATTTAGACAACCCATAAATTTATTGGCTAGAAAGAGCAAAAAAGATTTTGCAACTACTTGAAAGATTGGCTTTCATTTGCTAAATTGTCAATATTCTTCAGTGTTCCTATTCTTACATTTTTAATCTATCATCTCTGCAATCTACTCAGAGCTCCTCCTTTGAGCAGACAGACCTCCTTCAGTGAACCGTGGCCTACTTCTCACCTAGTCTATCAAGTGTCCATCCACTCAGATGTGGGATGGCCACATCCTGGCCAATCCTGGCCTCCAATGTGCTCTGCTACCAGTGTTCCTGAGACGTGTGGGGCTGAGGATTAAGCTTTCAATCTCTCCTTTTCTCCTAACTAGAAAATTCTGTTGTTGTATGGAGAAGCTTCTCCTGAGAGGGTCCTGCTGGTTACTCTCACTCAATTTGACCTAGATAAACATCTGAAAGGAAATAATATGTCACACTGAATAAAATGAATATAGTAATTCTCAGAATAGGAAAAGCTTACAACGCACAATACTCAACCTGATCCCCAATTTTTTTTCCATTGGTGATCTTGTGACCTGATTTAGTCTACATATTATTCTGCTGATGATCAATGAGAAAAGAAAGAAAACACTTTGTCTTTCCAGGAAAGTCTAAGGAGGAATATACAAAAGTAGCCAATTCCTCCTTCATTTCCTGTTCAATTTCATATTTCTTCAGTGTGAGCAAAGGAATGAATGGATTGTGCACTAGATTTAACATTTAAAATCATAAAGGTTAAGACTATATTACACTTGACTATAAAGATGAAAATTATAATAGGTTTTATAAAGAAGAAAAGAGAAATGACCCAAATAAATAAAATTATGAATGAAAGAAGAGAGATTACAACCAACACCAAAGAAACACAAACAATTATAAGAACATATCATGAGCAACTATATGCCAGCAAATTAGATAATCTGGAAGAAATAGATGCATTCCTAGAGATGTATAAACTACCAAAACTCAACCAGGAAGAAATAGAAAACCTGAACAGACCTATAACCACTAAGGAAATTGAAGCAGTCATCAAAAATCTCCCAACAAACAAGTGCCCAGGGCCAGATGGTTTCCCAGGGGAATTCTACCAAACATTTAAAGAATTAATACCTATTCTTCTGAAACTGTTCCAAAAAATAGAAATGGAAAGAACACTTCCAAACTCATCTTATGAGGCCACCATTACCTTGATCCCAAAACCAGACAAAGACCCCATCAAAAAGGAGAATTACAGACCAATATCCCTGATGAACATGGATGCAAAAATTCTCACCAAAATACTAGCCAATAGGATCCAACAGTACATTAAAAGGATTATT